GAGTCTTGTGGATTTTCCTTAAGGATGTGTAGCTAAATCTCCATTTTCTAGTCGAAGGTCAATTTGAAGATTCGGTTCCAAACATCTGTGAGATCGAATTATTTTACTTATTTCTTTTATTCATTGGTATTCATACGTTTTCTGATTTAATTTCTTATGATTGTTTTGTTATTTGAATGTAAAGGGTCCGATATTCGAATTAATCTAATAATCTATTGCCAAAACCGATCTTTGGCAAGAGTGCCTCTGGGGTACTGAATTTCTACACCAACTCTATACAAAAATAGATTATCTACTTCGTCAGTAATTGCTGCTCTGCCCGATCAATCATCAATGGAGTAAATTTGAAGATAATAGAAACGTAGAAACAGGGAGCTTTCGGATCTCACGGAATTCCAGCAAATTGCTTGTCCCTGTCGTGATCAATCTGAGATTTCGGTTGGATTGATTCTGTAAAAATTATTCTTGCTATTTTCTTCTGTCTGCTTGAATTAATTTAGATGAATCTCTACCTAAGATTCTTGGGACATATGAGTTAAAGTCTTGCACATCATGTGTTTGAAAAAATGCCATAAGGAAAAAATGAATTAAAGTTCAGTTGGAGGAGATACTTTAGATAGGAACTTCCAAGGACATGGCTGTCTTCCAACATTCTGCTGGGGGGTGTCCCTTGCCTTCTCAGGCTTTCCAACGTAAAACCTTCGCTGCCCTTTTCTCAGAAGGATCACCACAGTCGATTTTCTCTGTCAAAGTGGCATCATCAACTCATAAAGGGGAGCCACCACTGCTATTTTCACAGGATGCCCTTGATAGGATTTCTACTCCCTACAAGTATGCCCTGGTGGGTAAGTTCTCTAGGGGCAGGCCAAAAATGGAGGGAGTGCACAAGTTTTTCCTCTCATTAAATTTAAGGGAAGCAGCATCTGTGGGTTTGCTTGACTCTAGGCATGTATTCATTAATCTGTCCAATGAAGTTGATTATCATAGGCTATGGTCCAGAAGCATTTGGTATGTCCATGGATTCCCGATGAGGGTCTTCAAGTGGTTGACGGCTTTTCATGTGGACAAGGAGCCATCAGTCGTACCCGTTTGGTTCCAGCTTCCTAAGCTACCGGTTCATTATTTCAACAGAGAAGTTTTATTTCAGATTGTCTCCACGCTGGGTACGCCATTGTTTGTGGATGCGGCAACGTCAGAGATGACGCGTCCAAGTTGTGCGCGGGTATGCATAGAGGTCGATCTGCTCAAGCCTCGACCATCATGTGTATGGATTGGCAACGGTGACCATGATGGATTTGGCAGAGTTTCATACCAGAAAACCTCTCGCCATACTGTGCGTATTGCTTTCGGTAGGGGCATGGGGTGGAGGAGTGTCATGTTCTTCGGCCAGACCTCCATGTCACCAAAACTGAGGGTGCGAAGCAAGAAAACACTAGCCTGCAAAAAATAGTGGTGCAACAAAGAAAATTAGGAGGAAACGAGGCTGACCACTCTGGACCATCAGTGGGCAGATGGTGGCAGTGCAGGTGCAAGTTCCTCACCTGCATGTGATCTCAGCGCTAGCGGAGAGGGCAACCACTGCGATGGAAGACAACCATAAAGAGCCTGCTGTGCAGGGGGATGTGGAGGAGAGGCCGCCTCTATTGGTGCTGGCTGTGCCTGTACCTGGCCCGCAACTTGGTAGGGGCGGCGAAGGGCCAGCTGGAGAAAGAGGTTCGACTCATTGGGGTGAGTTTACGATTATCGAGGGGGAGGAGCCAAGGGGTGTGGCCAGCCACGAACGTGAGGTCATCTTGAAGCACAGGAAGTGAGGTCCGGGGTGTCTACAAAGTCACCACAACTTCCGCAGCTAGTGGAGGGGCAGTTTGGAACCTTGGGTAGGATAACTCTTCCAGTGATAGAGGGCCCACAACAACCAGCCAGCAGCGAATTACACTTGGAGTTGGGTAGCGCACAAATGACCGAAGGTTGCTTGGGTGAGGGGGCAACGGTACCAACCGGGGAGGATAGCGATGCAAATGATGACGAAAGGGAGTTTGATCTGCCTCATGTGGCTGGAAATTTATCGCCAAGGTTGGTAGTAGTACTAGAGCTGACTCTGAATACTACTAGTATGGAGTTAAACATTGATTCCCTTGATGATAATCGCAAGCGGGGTAGGAAGGCAAAGGGGAATGGACTACGTGCTCAAATTCAATCAGACAGGCAACTCCGGTCCTCAACTAATATCAATAACTCATTCCAGGTATTACATAATGATTAATACGCTAATGTGGAATATTAGAGGGTTGTCAAAAGCTCCCAATCTGAGAAGATTGAAAAATATTATTCGTATGCATGGTGTTCAATTTGTCGCACTCTCTGAGCCAAAATTAGAAGTATCTCGAGTTGAGTCCATTCGCATGAGGTTATCTTTTGACTATGCAATTGTTAACGTTTCGGAGGATCTCTAGATTTTTTATAATTGCCCTTTTGTTTGCTCCATTGTTGGTAATTCTAATCAGCATATTTCCCTATCTATTCAACACTCGTGGTTGTCGGGACCAATGATTTTCTCATTTGTTCATGCTTTGAGTTCGGTGGAGGGACGTCAGGATTTATGGGAAAAACTTTTAGCTGACAAACCTTATTCCCTGCCTTGGTGTATTAGGGAAGATTTCGATGTTATTGTAGATGCTCATGAAAAACGAGGTGGGAGACCATTCTCAGTTGCAGAGGGTATTGAATTTTTGACCTTCATAGAAGAGGCTGAGGTGTTTGATGCGGGTTTTTCAGGGTCCAGTTTTACATGGTGCAACAATTGGAGGGGAATGGCTAGAATTTGGAAAAGACTAGACCGATTGCTCATTAATGGGAAGTGTACTGAGTTGGCCTCGGCGATTTTAGTAATTCATTTACCTAGACATCCTTCTGACATGCCCCACTGAGAATCTCGAGGCTAGACAATAGGCTGCAACCGTTTCGCTTCTTGAATGTATGGACATCCAAGCCAGAGTTATTAGATGTAGTTAGAATGGCCTGGAGCACAGAAATTCAAGAATCACCGTTATGAATTTTGTGCTCAAAGTTGTTGGCTACCCATCGGGCGATTCAGCAATGGAATAAGCAGTATTTTGGAAATAGAGGTACTGCTGTTGCGGATGCTGAGTCTGGGCTTGCGTGGGCACAGGAAGGGGTGGAACATTATGATTCCATTGAGGGTCGCGAGGAGCTTCACAACGCACAAGCGGAGCTGAATAGGGCATTGGCAATTCAAGAACAATTTTGGAGGCAAAAATCAAGGGTCAAGTGGCTCAGTAGTGGGGATTGGAATACAAGGTATTCTCATGCAGTGGTCAAGCAGAGGAGAGTACAGGGTGAAAAATTCGTATGGCGAGTGGGTGGACAAGGATGATGACATAGCGCATGAGGCGATTGAGTACTTCTCTGGCCTATTTTCGGGGTCCATGGACTCCTGTCCGGGGGATTTAGTGCATTTAATTCCGTCAATGATCACAAGTGAGGAGAACGCATTGTTGGCAGAAGTGCCTGACTTGGAGGAGGTTCGGAGTATAGTGTTCACCATGGACGGGGAGAGTGCTGCGGGTCTGGACGGGTTTACAGGGAAGTTCTTCACGTTTGCATGGGATATCATTGCTCAGGACCTGCACAGAGCGGTGGTCAGTTCCTTCTGTGGAAATGAGCTACCTGGATTTATTACTTCCACCTCAATTGTTTTGCTACCTAAAGTTTTGAATCCCCAGGATTTCTCTAAATTCAGATCGATTAGTTTCTGCAATTTTTTCAACAAATTATTATCCAGAATTTTGGTGGGGCGGCTGGGCTCTGTTATACCGAGAATTATCTCGTCCCAACAGACGGGGTTTGTCAAAGGCAGAAATATAACGGATAATTACTTGCTAGCTCAGGAGTTGATATCCCCCATAGGCAAGAAGGCAAGAGGGGGGAATGTTGCCCTAAAACTGGATATGAGTAAGGCATATGATCGGATGTCTTGGAGACCTATTATTATCATATTGCGAGCATTTGGTTTTGGAGAGCGATTTATAGACCTGGTCTGGCGGCTTATTTCTAACATGTGATTTTCAATTGTAATTAATGGAACATCGCATGGATACTTCAAATCTAGCAGGGGGTTACGGCAAGGGGATCCACTATCCCCAGTGCTCTTTATTATTGGTTCGAAAATGCTGTCACGAGGGCTGAATTCTCTAGCATCGCAGCACAGTTTTGTAGGGTTTCGAACCCCAATGGGTTGTCCTATCGTCACGCATCTAGTTTTTGCTGATGACGTACTGATTTTTACCAATAGGTCTATTGATGCTTTAAAACGAACCATGCAGGTGCTCGAAGCGTATCAGCTTTCCTCAGGACAATTGGTCAATGCTCAAAAGAGTGAATTCTTGGTTCATCCAACTTTATCACCAGCTTGGAGAAGAATGATTGAGTGGATTACGCAATTCACTAGATAGGAGTTGCCCATTCATTATCTTGGTTTTCCTTTGTATTTGGGAAGGAGCATGTCAGGTTACTTTGGAGAGATGTGTGAAGCGGTGCTGGCTCAAATTATGTCTTGGAAGTCAAGATTGATATCCCTAGGAAGGAGAATAGTCTTGATAAAGCATGTGCTCGCATCCATCCTAGTTCACTTACTATCAGCTGCGGTATGTCCCGTCTCGATTTTCAATCGAATAGAGCAGGCTTGTGAAAATTTTCTATGGGGATCAGCAGGGGAAGGGATGAAGTTTCACTGGATCAGATAGTTTCAATTATGTCTTCCGGTTGAGGAGGGGGGAGTAGGTTTCAGGAAGCTACAGGATGTGTACTCGGCATTCTCTTGTAAATTGTGGTGGACTTTTCGGACTGGAAAATCGCTTTGGGCACAATTTATGTGAGCTAAATACTGCAGGGACCTTCATCCGTGCCAGGTGGAATTGCGTCGGTTTGACTCATCGACGTGGAGACGAATGTTAAACATAAGCCAATAGGTGGAGTTATCCATGCTATGGGTGGTGAACGCGAGGTCATGTAATTTTTGGTTTGACAACTGGCTGGGAAGTGGAGCTCTATGTTTGAAAGCTATGGTGAACCCGATCCTCTCCTTCAAGGATTTCCTCACTAATGGGGACTGGAACGGTGCTATGCTGAGGCAATATATACCGCAAGAATGCATCCCTCTAATTCTACAACACCCGGTCCCAAATGGAGATTGCCGAGATGAGGTGGTATGGAGCCAGACGGCTTTGGGAAAATTCACGTTGGCATCGGCATTTCAGGAGGTCCGTCAGGCTTGGAATTACCCCGTCTTACACTCTCAGGTATGGCATCCTCGGATTCCGTTGAAAGTTCTATTCTTCATGATGCGTTTATTGTTGGAAAAATTGCCTTTAACTGATGCCTTGCGGAGGGTTGGAGTCCAATTGGCTTCAAAGTGCTTGTGTTGCCAGGAGGGCGCGATTGAGACACTGGAGCATGTGTTCGTGGAGGGTCAGGTTGCAAAGGGTGTCTGGAGTTATTTTGGTAGGATTTGTGGGGTAACACAACTTGGCTCGTCACTATGGCCATGGCTAACGGCTTGGTGGCCGTTCTCTCCTCGGCATATGGTAAGAAGGTTCCTCTTCTCGGTTCTTCCCAGTTTTATATGTTGGCATATTTGGAAGGCTCGGAACGTTGCATACTACGAAGGAAGGCAGATGCCAGTGGAGAGGATTTGTCATGCCATTTTTTTAGATGTGATAGGGGTGGTTGAGATTCAGTTTAACCAGAGGCTTGGGGTGCACACATTTCTTCAGCTATATGAGTGGACAACTCAACAACCATCGGTTTATAGTTTTCACCTGGTGTGGTGGAAGGCGAAAGAGGCGGGATTGCTAACACTAAATATGAATGGATGCTCCAAGGGAAATCCAGGAGTGAGTGGTGGTGGAGGAATACTTCGTGACTCATCAGAATTACCATTATTTGCGTTCTCAGCTTACTTTGGGAAACTTTCGAGTTTGCGTGAAGAGGGATTGGCCTTGGCAATGGGGCTTCGTTTGTACGTTCAAAAGGGGTTTACCGATGTAAGTATTTAAGTTGATTCTCTAGTTCTCGTTGGGATTCTTCAATGGCGGCTCCAGTGCCCGTGGGTGATACGATGGGAGGTAGACCAAATTTGGGGCATGATTACCGATGTGGCGCGATTTTATCATTGCTACAGAGAAGTAAATAAGTTGGCGGACAATCTAGCAAAGGTGGGTACGTCCAGCCATAACCGGAATGTCACCATTTATGATGAGTTCAATGCAATTCCAAGATAGACGCGAGGGGAAATTTGCATAGAAAGGTTAGGCATGCCTTTCCTCAGGCGGAGGAAAGTAGGTTAACCTAGGAGGTTGGCTAATTCATGATTCTTTAGAAAGAAGTAACAGATAGATTTACTGCTTTAGATACAGGTGATGGTGCACTCGTACCAATTGCTTGATAGTATGAAGGTCCTGGTACACGAAAGGGTTTGATGATCATTCATGGGAACCTGCTGACCGTCTTGCAAACATTGGAATGGAATCGCGAATTACTTCGATTTATGAATCATTCTGTGAACTGCCTCGCTAGGTGAGAGTGACTTTGCTCTTCATCAATTGGGATTTCCAAACTTTCGTAGAGTTAGACTATAGCAAGTGTCATGTGATATTTTTCTTGAAAAAAAAAAATCTATTGCCAAATTAATCAGTTAAATTCGTAATTGTTTGATTGGTTAATACCAGTGGCCACTAGCGTGATTGGCCCCATGTTAGGAAAACGTATGATCTAATTTAAACAAACCCTTGTAGCGTGTTTGTTGATTAGGGTTGGACTTTTCTAATTCTTAATGCAATTGAGAAATTGAATCCTACGGTCGTACCTAGGATTATTTCTTGGTTAGGGAAATAGTTAACGTTCATACCTTGATTATCGAAAAAGTAAGAAAAAGTTGGTTGTCTATCGCGTGTTTGACAATTATAATCAATCTATTAATGAGTAATTAAATTATCATTGTATCGATGATCAGTTGAATGAATCGTGTCTGAAAAGTTGCACATTTTGCTAGAGTCGTACTTGTTATTGATTAATTCCTATTTATTTCCGTTAGTTGTTTTATTAGTTGGTTAATTAGTTATTTTATATTTTCCAAAAATCCCCCATATTCTGAACTCTAGAAGAAATGAATTATCCTCAATCCCTGTGGATTCGACTCTACTCATCGCTATATACAAAATTTGTATTTTTCTTGTATAGGTAATTATTATTATACAGGCTCGACAACCTGTCAATTTTTATTTAGAACAAATCCATGGATCCTTTCGAGTTGTCTCAAGAAAACCATGCCTTAAGTAAGTCAATGACTTTATTGTCAAGCAGCAATGCCTTAGTGAGAACATCCAGAGAAATGGGAGGATTTGATCCAAAGACTGCATTTGCAATAGTATTGATTCACGGATTTTGGCTGCTGAAACCAGCAAAGGCAACAGCATTCATCTTCCCAACATTAAATTGGAAGTGAATCAGACCTTTTTTTTTTGATAAAACATAAGTCAATATTATTAATTATCTAGCTGGAAATCGTCCAACACGATTTGCTTGATAAAGTAATCTGCACTAATGGGAGAAAATACATTGAAAATATCACAAATATATTTGATCTGAAAAATCATAAGATTTAATAGAGTTACAAAATATAAAAAATTATACTGTGAATCACAAATCATCAAATCTGACCAATTGAACAAACTGTTCCATAAATATTTGTGCATATCTATTCCCTCAGATTTGCGATCCAACTTCTAAGCTAATGTTGAGATCTGACAAGAAAGCCCAAGAAATTTTAGATCTAGGTTTTCCAGCTACCCTTGCTGCGGTATTCTTCCCGCTGATTTTGTAGCTATCCATCTTGTTATTAACCTTGGGCAGAGGCAACACAAGTTCGTCGCCAAAGTAGTCGGCGCAGATAACTTCCACTTCCACGGATGGATGAAGCACCGACATTGTAAAACACTTGAGAGACTTTGGTTCAATGGATTGGTCTTCTTCTTCTCCTGCCGCTGCTACTGCTGTGATGAAAAGTACTACTATGTGAAGAAAACTGGGGAAAGAGTACCTTTATATATACATAGAAAGGAGCTACCAAATTCTATGCATCTTTAGAGAATGAAATCGGCTTCTTGTTTTCTTTTCTTTTGGGGAATGCCAGCGAATTTAGCAAGCGTTGGTTTCTGATGTTTCCTAATCTCGCAAAGGCACATCGTTGTTGTTGTGCATGTATAGATCCAATTCTATGGGAACTTGGGACTGGACTTTATTTTTTTCCACCTTGAATTCGGAATATGGATTTTCCACGCCAAGAAGCCGACAATGGATATATTTGACTTGAACGCGCATTAGGAAAGTGATTTACGATACCAATTTATTAATGGAATGCTTGAGTAGAAATTTTTTTTGCCAGTCATCAACTGGGAAGTTCTACATGCTCCTTATTTTAAGTTTTGTATTTTTCAATATTGAATTCTTGTTTACTCTTACTATTGTTATGAACTAATCTATATCTAGGGTTAGGATTTTGTGAAGGAGTTTTGATTATTTAGCCAACTTAAATTCTATACATTTACCTTGGTTTATCTATTTTGATTTAATTACATGTTTGCGTCCAGCCATTAGAGATTTGCTCTTAAAATTTGTATTGAATTGAAAAGGTTTATATAACCGTGCACTAGATAAATAGATATATTTAACCTAATCATGAGAATAGGTCAAGGTTTGTATGATATAATTAAATTATCTAAGATTTTAAAGGGTTTAATTAAATATATATGATCTTGAAAAATATGTGAGATTGAATTAGGCACAATTTATATATATCGAGAGATAATTTAATATACTTTTGGGTGATACGCTCTTGGTATGTCCATAAATTAACTGGATTGTAATTCTAACTCTGGATGAAAAATCTGAACCCCGAATTTTGCCAATTGTTTTCTTACCACTACGCTGTTTGGTTTGGTTATCTATTTAATTTCTTAATTAGTAGTTAAAAACCTTTTTAAATTTAAATTTATTATTTTTCATAGTAATTAAAGTAGAAAAATTAACTCCTCCCTCTAGATTCAACTCTTGGAATATTCCAAATCATTTTGTTACTACGATTGACCTTGTATATTTGCAAAAATTTGTCGATCAGCAACATGTTCTATAGTTGTAAGGAATTACTAGCAGTATTGGGATCATTGATTGCAACACAAAAATCCTGCAAAGGGCTAGGATCAGAAGCGACAGCAGGGGATAAAAGTAGTGCCATTGTGGCAATGATTATGAGGGATGAGATCTAGTATTTCTTACGCTAACTCTTTGGCTGATGGTTTGAGGGATTTGGGCAAAGATTTGAAGCTATATATAGGCATATTTCATTTGACAAGTCACCAAGCTTATCTCTATTAATTAGTTGAAGAAAATTAGAGTACTGGACAACTAGGTCTGCAGGTTGGTTAATTAGTGACTTCTCATGCTTAGTTAAGTCAGCAAGATGAATCCTTCCTCAACAAGTAGGTACATGCATTTATCTAGCTGAACTCTTTTTTAAAAAAAAATTTTAAATTTTTCTTTTTCTTTAATCTCCCCCTGCCGGCGGGCTGCCCCTCTCCTCAATGTTATGGCCCAAACAATATGATTATTTCTCCTTGGCTTTGTCCTTCACTGGAAAATGTTCGAACTTTGAATGGGCACTTATGCTTCTCCTAGTGAAATTGGTTTGGGCACATAGTCTACGATGTAACAAGGTGGTGCATGTTTTTGCATGAAATTTTAGATTTGTTACCACTTGATTTGTATTGTAGGAGAGCTTGTTGCTCCAAATTTATAAGCCTATCTCTTCTTATTGCAAATATTCTAAGTATTCAATATTGGTTTTTCCCTTCCTGTTCCTACAGAAATAAAAATAAAAAAGAAAGGTGTATACCAATTGGAAAGGTCTTCTATCAGCTTTAATTTCCTGATTAAAATTTTACTTTGATGGTAAAAAGTTTGGAAAGGTCATGAAGTTGTTCTTGAAATCCATGTAATTCTAGATATAATGATTTTTTCTTTTGAACTTCCTCCAACTAATATCGAGTACTTCCAAAAGATTCTAATGATATGGCTTTTTATTTATTTATTTTAAAAATAGGAGATTTTGAATCCAAGAATTGCTACTTATAATGCCTCCCTCGATATGCTTTGTTTGAATGGTCAAAGTACAACTAATACTTCGAAATTACTCCTTGGTGCAAGAGAGTTAGCTATGAGAAGCAGCCAGAAATTCAATCTTAATTATCCTTTTTAAGATTAGATCCTCTGACTAAATGAATTAGAGCATTAACTTGATCCAAACTCAAAGGTTTTGTGATAAAAAGTACTATCCCAGGCCATTGTATTTTTGCATATCACCTAGTCAAACCTTATTTATTCTAGGAGTTAAGAAGTTAATATTCATGCACTTCTGCCCACTGTAAATCCCGAGAAATTTTGTTCCACAACTAATCTCATTTGCAAAGTCTTATAAATATTCAGTTAACGGTATTAGTTGATTCAAAAAGGTCAAGATTGCAACTTAAACTCCAATACTAATACAGCTTTAATTCTAGGTAATCATTTTTCATGACCTGGTTTTTGAAAATATGGAAAGTAGTTAACTCCAACCACGTGATTGAAAAATCATTCACTTCCAGACTGGCCAGAGGAATTTCTTTGCCTCTTTCCTGAAAATGATATATGTACTTACGTGAAGGATAAGGGATGCTCGAAAGTCTTTGTTACTAGTTCAACTAGACGAATAAATATCTCTTGCCTTTTCCTAGGATAAGAATAGATAGATGCAGGAAAGACTTGATCCCTGGGTAAACTGGTGGAATCACGTGGTGTCTTAAATTCGGGTGTGTGTGTGTTTCTTACAGTTGTTGAAAGGAAAGACTTGATCCCTGATTATCTATATGCATTTAAAATGATATTTGAAATTGATTTAGATTTTAATATGGTATAGTCACATGTGGCGTCTTAAATTCCAAATTAGAAGTTGTAAACAATTAACTAAAAAGGTAATTAGTTTTGTTACAAACCTGATTTAGTTATCTCCATCGACTGGATTTGGATCGCTTGACGGACGGCCTTTGTAGTCCACGCTTCCTTCAACGATGTCGAGGAGTTTCAATGGCCTCCGTGGCTGTAAAGACGGCGGCCATGATTCAAGTCTCCAGCCAGCCAGCCAGCCCACGGAGGTGCAGTTTTCACCTGTGTGTGGAGCTAGCTGGAGTTTTTTCATTTGTTTTTTTGGCTGTTGGTTTAATTTTTTTCACTTGTTATTGTTTCAAACGGTAAGCTGGATGTTGAATTTGAATCGTGCCACAGAATTTGTGGTGTTTGTGTGCTAACTATTACTTTTTATTCGTTGAGCTTTTAGAAGTTAAATTGACTTTAATTCACTTTACTCGACCTCGAATTCAATCAAGTCTAGCCTAATCGAATTCAATTAAACTTAATTGAACTCACCTAATAAAAATCTATATTTTACATATAATTTTAAAAAAAATTTATAATCAACATTTCACAATAATAAATAAAAATATAATATAAATAAATAAATAATATATATATATATATATATGGAGGAAGGATGAATTAAATAGTGCCAAAGGAGGGAATGCAAGCAATAAGTTTTGGATTCAACACCTTCCACTTATATACTAATATATATATTGAAAGCTCATGAGTTTTTTTGACCGAACTACGTACTCGAGCTGGTGATTTGTTGTCACGCACCCCCAATGATGATTTTATTTGTATTGAACTTTGCCCTTTTTGGTGTGAATTGAACTTTGTGTTATTTGTTTTGTCATATATATATCCATCAACCCCAGAAGGGAAAAAATGACAGAAGACAAACTTAACGATATGTTATTTGTAGAGGTAGGTTGGACTTTGTGTTATTTGGTTTGTCGTGAATCTAGCAACCCATAAAGGAAAGAAAAAAGACAAAGTTGAATATTCATTCTTAGACTTGAGAAGTACTTAAAAGTCATTTCACCTTTACGCTCATTAGTTGCTTTCACTTAAGTTGAATGCAATGGCTGGGCTTGAACTTGCAACTTCTGCCTTAATAAGGCGATGTTATGACCAATTGATGTGACAAATCCCATCTTATAAATTATTTTTGATATGTCAATTCAATATAAAATTTTCCCCTTTTCCTCTGTGTTCTTCAATTACCGTTACAAAACTAACAATTAAATTTCTTAATAATGATGACTAGCCAATATTTGTCTTATTTTGCCACTTTGATAATTGCCCAAGAATTCGGCAATTAGCCAAACGGTACATGAGTTGGTTTTAGAACGTCGTGAGACAAGCATTAGGCATTCTAGCCTAGCCTTGCTGCACAGGACGAAGCATTAGGCAGACACTAGGCGGGCTTCTCTTTTTCTACACTCTTGGCGGTTCCTTCTTTGAAGAAGCACAAGCAATATATATTCCTGTTTACAT